TTCAAGGTTTACATTTCTTTTACAAACCATCAATGATAAGGCTGTCCCGAGTCAGGTAAGCGCCTTATAAGTTTGATCACACGAGGCTCTATCACACATGTGATATGTGACTTATATATGAGTCCGCTTCATTTCACCTGGAATGTTGATGTCTGGGTGTTTTATTGGCTTGAATTTCAAATTTCGTTTTTAAGGGTCGACCATGTGAGTCGTTCATCTCAGGTTGTCATTGGTGCTTTTAGTCATGATGCTCTATTGATTCCGTAGCGGTGCCATTAAACTCAATGGTGCTTTTGGTGCACCGTGATGAAATTGATTCCGGATGGTTTTGCGAGAGCATTTATTAGAACATTGCTTGTATTGATAATCAGTTTGTCCCGTGTTGGGTTGCACTGAATCACCGAGTGGAAATCCTTACCGTTATACCATAACAAGGTGTTCTGTTTTTGATACCCTTCAGTCCCGGCATATGGCAGCCATCCTTGGACGGCGATTGTTGGTAAATGACTACACTTCGGCTTTCGAAGCCTTGCCAGATGAGACGAAAGCTGCAGCTAAGCAGCAGTTGCTTATGGGTATTGTCCATGAAACAGAAAACCTTATGCGCAAAAAGATAGCTGATCTTACGGCTGAGCTGGCGAGGATGCAATACGGTGAGTTTTCAACGATCTTCAGTTTGTTTTATCCGTGCTTTTCCATCGTGCTTGGAGAAAAGTGTTGTGATGGAACACATTCAAATTTCCACTTAGACGGTACGCATTATCTCAATACCTGGTGCGTCTCCGAATCATAAGTGATGGTAATAGAACCATAGTCACTCGCACATTGGATCTCACTATGTCAGCTACTGTTCACGTGGATGCCGAACTTGATCAGGAATCAACGGTGCGATAAACTGAATTTTTCGGCTCGTCCAGCACTCGTACACGTTACCCGCGGCGACCCCTACAAAGATGATCGATATGTATACTGGTTACTCATAGGTAGCATCAAATGTCCTATTGACTATAAAGCAGAACACTGATTATACCTATCATGTCAATCATAAGTATAAGGAGGCTTCTCGTGAATGTGCAACAGGAATACCACTGCTTTTTGTTGCAGGAACTTGTCAATGTCATTATGGAACGTTAGAATTGAAAATTCAAACCGCATACGCTTTTGTACTTCATCCAGATAGTCCAAGATCATGTTAACGACAGATCGTGTTACGTTCTTCAGCCTGCGTTTTATGCGGCTCCAGAATGCACGTTATTTGTGTGCACTCCCGTCACAGGATTAACGAAACCGCCCGAGTTTACCGCACATAATGAACGGTACGCTGCCCACGGGTCTTCATGCACCGTGGTTCCAACGTTGCAATATAGATAGTGTAGACGCTAATCAATATTGCGCCCATTGGAAATAACCTTTCTTTAGGTTTCGATCATGCAAGATCAGAAATAAGAACAAAATGATCGGATACCACCCCACTGAGGTACCTCAGTAGGGTTACGTAACCGAAATAAATGAATAGGAACTGGTGTTTATAATGGGCAACTGTTCATCATACCAGTTACAAAAAAACATTGGAAGGGTGGTCGTGGTTAGTAACGTCATAAGCCTCGGGAGGGGTCTCTACGGGTAACGTGCGCGGTTGCTTCTAAATACAGTCCAGGGTCTTTAATAACCCGTGTAAGTTACAGAACAGGTCTTCGTTGCTACTCGACTTGTATGTACGCTTCGCTCCAGAAGTGTGTATTAAATACGAACGAAATTCGCAGGTTCGAACGCCAACCTGTATGGTTATGCCATTGAATAATGTAAATCTTGGGGTGTGCGGTTCCAAATCACATGTGGGCCTAGGGTAGTCAGCGTAGCAAGCCTGGTTGTAATTCAAACATTTACCCGGTTTCAGCGTTAATTTTGTTTCTTCAAGAGCAGTTCCCATCTAAAATCCTGGGAAGAATTCCGGAGCATAAATTGAACCTCGGGTCAGAGAATAAGGTTTAAGAGATACAGACACCAACCAGAGTTGAATGGTTTGTCGAGCATACACAAGCTGGGTTACTTTATGCAATCTCTAAAATCCTGCGACTCCCGTGAGATTCTAAACACAGTGGTCAAGTAACATCCTGTTCGGAATCTAAAAGGCCCTAATGGACAGTGTTTCTGCATTTGTACTTATAAGCCTCGCAACTACTTCAGTCCTCAAATGTTCACTGACGATATGCCTACCGTAGATGAAATTGTATGCACCATGCCAAAAGTGCCCTCATACGATCAACAATCTGCACTTCTCTGGTCAGGATACGACTGGTTGTGCACGTTGCTACGCCGAAACGTATGTGACCATTTACTGTGGTACAAGGGTACAAGCATGAACGTTGTCTACTGAAATGTGATTACGCAGCGTTTCACTTGATCCTAGAAGTTGCGTCTGATGCGTCGTTTTTCTTTGAGCCCTGATTTTGCATTTAAAAACTCGAGGTTTGTTGTCTCTATGAATCCGCACGTGTAGTATTCACTGATCGAGATACGTACTGTACATCCATCGCTCTGCTGCACCGTGACGAATTGTGCACGGTAAGATCTAGCAAGCATGCTTATACGGTCTTAAGGATTCCCGACTGATCACCTAACCGGTTTCGGGTCACGAAAGAAAATCTTGGTTTTGTATTCCTTTTATTTCGATTTAATGCTTGATATTGCAAATAAGTTTCAATTAAAGAGAAGCAACCATTCAGAGGACTGCAGTGTGAATCACGGACGTTGGTATTGGTGGGCTTCGAACACGACCTACAGGACGATCCGTTGATGACCGCTGCAGCGGCATCCTGTTCACTTTTTGGCAGCCAAAACTATACTTAGGCCGTAATCTGAGCTGGTCATACTGATTTATTTTATTCTTCCTCCGTCTTCAATTGGTTTTGGCTCTGAAACATTGCACTAGCACGGCATACCCAGTTTGGTCGTGTAACATTTGTTTCCGAGGAGAGTTTTCGTTATCAACAAATTTGAGTAAATAGGCTTCATTGGGTAAAACGGTGCGCATGCCTAGCGGTCGTCTGTCACACCAAATTATTTGTAGTTACCGTTCCAGGTAGAAAATCACTTGGAGATCAACAGAGATTGGTTGTGCCTTAGTTTAATCGTTATCATCGACGTGTTTTGGACTCTATGGTCCACGTTTCGAGCCCCGCCACCCAACTTTGGTAGTAGCGTTGCTGTCGTCCGGTTCAATACCACGCTTAACCTATCGGGGCCTTATGTGGTTCGCTACTCCATCTCCCGGGACTGGAGTTAATGGTGTCCATCACAACCTAGGTCCTCGTAACCCTAAGGTTTTCCCCGTCTACTGTTCACTGAGTTGTGTAATAAAAAGAGCTGCACAGACGTGTTATATATAGGTTTCATCTACCTGCTCAATATCGGGATGCTGAAGGATGAAAACACATCAGTGACATTGTCGGTTCTTGTGGGACCAGATTGTTTACACGGTGGATATGCTCAAACTGTTCTATGTGCCAACCTAGGAGAGCCACTTCATTCAACAATCCCAACTTAGTCCGTGCCCACCTTGTATGCCCGCTTTTTATTAAATTGAGCTCGACAGCGATCAACGAAATCCGATCTACTGTCTCGCGTTACCAAGTCTCAATATGGGTATAATTCATGAGAGACTGGTCTTCACGACTGCGGTATTCCCATTTTACCAAATTATGTAGGTGTAATAATATGGTTAGATTCTATCCAACCTACTATGGGCCGTCAGGTGATTCAACAGTCATTAGAAATTTCCGTGCACTCTTGCTTTACAGCTGTTTGTCCTCCGGCTTATAAATGGACTACTTAATTATCTGGCCTAACTATCATAGTTGGTCGTTTATTTGGCATATTAATTCATTTGTAGATGACGATGGCAATTCCGAATGGCCTGAGTTCCTACAGTTTCTCCTCGAGTGTTCCAATTCTAATGATGTTGGTCTGCGAGAAATCGCATGTCACTTGTTTGCGGCTGTTCCAAGTGTTTTTGGTAATCAGCAAGCAAGTAGCCTTCCGATTATCGGTCAGTTCTTGGGCCGGGCAATTGCCGATCCATCGCACTATGAATTGCGCGCATCTGGTGTTCGTGCTCTGGCTGCTTTCATCGCACAAAATGCAACAGAAACTTCTGTTCTTCAAGCGTTGAAGGAGCTTGTTCCAATGACACTTCAAGTGAGTCACGCAACCTAAATATGTTCCGTCTCGTTGAAGCTACACCGTGTAAACCGCAATGATTTCTTCGTAAACGAGAGTCGACGGAACGCTTTTGTAATGTGATAGCCCACACTGTGTTTCTAATGTTTGAGTTGGGGTCAGCTTGGTTGTGTTCTCAAGAAGATTCATTTTATTATTCAGAGCGTAATCTTCGTGCAAATTTCATCGCTTCATCACTCCAATAATTTACTGTTCCCATTTCATTTGGCTCTTAACAGACTATATCCAATGCAATCGAAGCGGATCCCGACGATGATGTCATGCTTAAGGCACTTGTAGACATTGCGGATGCAGCATGCAAATACCTTCGTCCATATCTCAATGCGGTGTTGGAGTTATGTTATAAAGTAAGCAATTATCAATTGCATATTCGTAATTACAGTATTCTTGGCATGGCTTGTGATGGGCTGAAAGACATGGAAATATGANGTCCTTTCTAATCGCTTTATCCTAATGGATGCATTACGGCTTTGTGATGTTAGCCACTCAATAAGGACTTCGGATTAACTGTTCATGTGACCAATCAATAGGTCCTCTTCACTATGGATTCAACTGTTGCACTTGTTTTCATACTATATATTTTGGNATATTTTGGTGGGAAACACGTTTCCAACATACAGGCTGAGAACGTTTTTACTGCAACCAGACTGAAGATTTCGGCAGTAATCACATCACTCAAACGATAAAATAGTCAATTCAATACGGTGCTGTGCATCATACAATAAAACCCACGGGTAACTGCAAAGGAGCAAGGTAAGGCCCGAAGGGGGGGGGTGCGCATTGATTTCTGTCTATTTAGACCGTCCCCAGCATATTGGGTTGCGTTGTGCCACGCCCTGCACATAGCTTCCCTCTTCCTGAAAATTGTATTATGTATTCAATGAAAGGAAGTAAAAGTGAAGAGAGAAATAGCTGTTGATCACTTAGCATCGTATTTTGCACCAAATGCCCAAGCTCTTAACAATAACTAATCCAACGTGGTACATCCTAACCATTGTCGGAAGGTCGTTCCCATCTAGCGATGGATGTATCAACGAATATTGAAAAAATCAACGTTTCACCTGGGGTTGCGTGAACGATAGCTAGCTGAAAGGAGTCGGCTCCGGGTATCCTTGTGAATTCACACTAGCCAAAGAACAATGGGCTAGAACTGCATGTTTCTTGCAAACCTGAGACCAAGCAACAGCTTGAGCTTATCCAGCATATTGAAATGATTTGTCGTGAACAACTCTCATCCAATGCTTAAATTCTTACTCAGCCTACATTTGAATACTCTGTTGTTTATGATCACTGTTCATTCAGCAGGACGGTTCGTCAAGTATAAAGCACGACGGAAAGTACACCATAGACTTGAATCAAATCTTCCACCATCCTACACAAGCTTTATTATCCCCTGTCACCCGTGTTTTCAGTGTATTTGCCTTCGGCTAATCCTTTTTCAATGAAGTTTGCCGCAGGATCACCTAACCGCATTGGTGGGAAGTGAATTGGAAATAAATTTGATACGCATCACTGCTCCAAAGACGGTTCCGATTCTACGTTTCTTGCGTTATACATTTCATACTTCCTTAAGGGTGAAATGTACAGAAGCATATTATCATCCCCCCTTTCTCAATAACCAGATTGTGAGGAATGAGGAACTGGCAGAACCGCAGCGACATCTCTCTTTGGAAGTGATCGTCACGCTTGCCGAGAATCTCCCAGCCGGTGTTCGTAAATCTGCTCCCATTGTGGAGTCACTTGTTGGCACCCTGTTAAAGATGATGACGGAGATGGAAGAAGAGAGTGATTGGAACGAAGCGGACACGATGGAAGAAGAGGACGATAGCAGTAACGCTCTAACCGCCGAACTTGCTCTTGATCGATTATCCTGCGCGCTTGGTGGTCAACATGTACTCAGTGAGATAATCCGCACAGTCCCAGGAATGCTACAGAACGGTAAGGGGGTAGAGTAAGGTCTGCATGAAATAGCCGTAACCTAGTAGTTGTACTGCTTATGTTCAAGTGAATGGTCAAGGTATGATTTGTTACACAACTTGTGCTCGTGTAGCATGATCGTTTATCTGTTATCTGTGGTATTGCAGTCATGAAGTTATGCTGAACTACAGGTGTTGGATAATGGTTGTCATCGATTGACATTCGATCGTTCCTGTTTCAGGTGATTGGAAACAAAGGTACGCTGGCCTCATGGCCATTTCTGCCTGCAGCGAGGGGAGCAGCAAACTGATGGAAACTATGTTGGGTTCTGTTTTGGAGGCGGTTGTTCCCAGGTTGGCCGACGCACACCCTCGTGTGCGGTACGCAGCGTGTAATTCCGTAGGCCAAATGGCTTCAGATTTTGGCCCCAAGCTACAGAAGAACCACCACAGTATTGTACTACCTGCACTTGTTCAGGTACTGGACGATACTGTACCACGCGTGCAGGCCAATGCAGGAGCAGCTTTAGTCAACTTTTGCGAAAAGGTTCCTCAGGTGAGAGCTTCGTAAATTTTCTGGTATCTAGAAAGCTAATACTAAGTTGCAAGTCTTTTTGCCTAGTCGACTGATTCAATCACCAAAACTAATTTACTCACCATTACACTCCTAATTGCAGCATATATTGGCAAACTATCTGGAGGGTTTGGTTGCAAAACTGGAACAGATCATGAATGCCAAATTTCAAGAGATGGTACAACATGGGCGAAAGCTGGTTCTGATGCAGATTGTCACCACAGTGGCTTCCGTAGCAGATGCTGCCGAGAAACGATTTACACCCTATTACGACAGGTATTTTACTCGGATTTGTGAACCGTATCATTGTGTTCTACTTGTTTCAAACTCGAGTAATCATCTTTTTTCTATCACTTGCCGTTTTCCACCGCCAGATTCATGCCAATCTTGAAGTACATAATGGAAAATGCTGTTCACAAGGATTTACGTCTCCTTCGAGGAAAGACTATCGAATGTATCAGTTTGATCGGGTTGGCAGTTGGAAAAGAGAAGTTCATGAATGATGTTGGACCAGTAATGAATCTTTTAATGGCCACGCAAACACAGAATGAAACGGATGCTGCTGGAGATGATGATGATTCTCAGGCGTCACATATGATCAGCGCATGGGCACGCATCTGCAAATTATTGGGTCGCGATTTTGAGAGTTATTTGCCCATCGTCATGCCCCAAGTACTCAAATCGGCCTGCATCAAACCTGAGATATGTATTCTTGACAACGACGAAGCAGATACTGTGGAGTCCGATTTGGATTGGCAGGTAGTAAAGTTGGGTGAAGATCGCAATTATGCCATCCGAACCAGGTAAGAATAGGTCGGTATTAAATTTTACTGACCTCATTTTGCAAAACTATCTGTTGTGAATAACATTTGTCTTCTTTTAATAACAGCGGATTAGAAGACAAAGCTACTGCATGTCAAATGTTGGTTTGTTATGCACGCGAAATGAAAGAAAGCTTCGCTCCGTATTGTGAACAAGTACTGGATANTATTCTTGACAACGACGAAGCAGATACTGTGGAGTCCGATTTGGATTGGCAGGTAGTAAAGTTGGGTGAAGATCGCAATTATGCCATCCGAACCAGCGGATTCGAAGACAAAGCTACTGCATGTCAAATGTTGGTTTGTTATGCACGCGAAATGGAAGAAAGCTTCGCTCCGTATTGTGAACAAGTACTGGATATCATGGTGCCCCTATTGGACTTCTACTTCAACGACGAGGTCAGTCAGCAATTTGTGGCGGACAATTTTTCGCTTTGTGATGAATATTTATCCTAATCTGAGGGTTTTCGTATTTCAGGTTCGCAGCGCCGCAGCTGAGTGCTTGCCTTATCTCCTGGGAAGCCTCAAAGCACGCCAACCGGATGCTGTCGTTGTCGCCTGGTTCCGGGTTCATAAAGCACTTCTGCGTGCGATCACAAACGAACCAGAACGGGAAGTGGTCGCCGAACATTTACTTGCACTCTCCGGCTGTATTGAAGCGGTTGGAAAGGAGTACATCACAAATGAGCAACTTACTGATATCCGTGAGCTACTGGATCATCTGTTCCATGAGCATTTTGAGAAGAGCGATGAACGAGTTGCAAAGCGTAATGTAAGTTCACTGGCTGTATCCATCAGACGCCCTAACGCGCTGTTTTTGCGATCTTAGTATTCTGCTTTCTCTGTCTGTCTTCGATGTTTATGTATCATTTAAAGTTTCTCGGAACCAAAATTCTCACCGACCATGCACATCCGACGATGGTTTTATAAAAACTTTTTACCTATTCGGTTGACTGATGTAAAGAACAGTAGAGAGAAGTATTCCGTTGACACAAGTACTAGGATGGAAGTACAGGATGAAAAAAATCAGTTTATGTATAATCGCCGCCTCTCATTTGCCGTGTTATGAATACGACAGTGATAAATTTCGTTTGTTTTCATGTTTGGACTATTTATAAGTAAGAGTGCATATTAATATCTTTTTCAAAAATGATTTTCATGATTAACTGATTATGCTCAAGAGAATCAATAAACAAAACTTCACAACCAGTTTGGCGGTTGGGGTATCATCGTAATGATTCTTTGAGATTGACTTGTCGCAAAATAACCCCTTGAGATGATTCTAAGTATACTCCTTTGCATGTTCTCAAACCGTGCAGTGATCTGTAGTAGCATTTATGCTTTCTTTGATTGATAAAAAATTCAGAAGATAAAGCAACAGGTTCACTGACTGACACGCTCCAATGAACCGGTGTTTTTGGCTGGTGGTGATGACATCCAAACATTCCAGGTGATGTTCATAACCTAAATCGTTCGACTATCGCTCTTACAGTTCTAAATCGCAGAATCTACAAATGAACAATTCAGATTAACTACACGCTCATTTGATGTTCAGAGCTTGGTTTCGTCAGCTTTTGCCTGCAGCCAAGAGTATCCATATTCTGTTTCATCTCATGTTAACCTTGAATACATATTATTGATGACGGTGGTTTGTACTTTTACAGGATGAAGACTTTGACGAATATGAGGAGGAACGTTTAATGACTGAAAAAGACGAAGACGAATACGTGTTGTCAAAGATGTGCGATGTTGTTCATGCAGTCTTCGTGACGTTCGGCGAAGAGGCACTGCCATTCTTCCAACAGCTGATTGTCTTCTGTGTGAAATTGCTTGTGAGTTTTACACTAACGTATTTTCGGTCGAATCGATGTCATCGAGAATTATCGCCCACTTTTCTAATGGGCTTCCTCCCACTCTTCAAAATGATGAACGATTACCTCATAAATGCCATTACTGATTTCCGCGTAATATCTGGTCGAAAGAGCGTATTCCATCATCGTGGAACAAGTCACTGATCGTTCTGATCCCACGGAAGACTGATCGCAGTCGTTACCAAAATATTAACCCTCGTACTTCGACGTCTCACCTCTTTCAAGGAGACAATTACCCGGATGCAATAAGCAGGATTCCGTCTAGGTCTCGGTTGTATCGACAGAATCTACACGCCGTACACACCGTCGACTAACGATTGCAATGGTCCTGTACTTGAGAGAGTCCTCGACTCAGTTGATCGCGAATCCCTTATGGGTTCGCTCCTTCGTAGAGGAATGCCGCAGAAATATGTAAACATACTGACGTCATTCTACTCGCGTAAGGGTATGCAGCGAAGTGAATGGGTCGTTCGAAATGAGCAGCAGTGCTCATCAAAGGTACCCTGTTTGGTCATTCCTGTTCAATTTCGTCGTAGACAAAATGCCGGAGAACACTATGTGGTCCGAACTGTAAGTATTGTACGGTTATCTGTAGAAAAGCCGTGACCTAGAGTACGTTGATGAAGTCTGTCTCTTCGAATGTACGAAGGATGCGCAAAGCGCACTGGACAGACTGGCAAGTTCCGTTGCTCCCTTCGTCATGCGCTTTTCACCTTCACCTGCAAAGTGCTGAAAGACCGGGTACCGTCGAGTCCCGTTCTGAAACTAGATGGCCAGGAATTATTTGGATAGCTGCGTGACCAACGATCGTAGCGCATCAAAGGAAATGAAAACCCGCATTTCCAAAGCTCGGGCAATAAGCGTAGGAATAAAACATGTGGCGACGACGTAACGTTTCACTGAAGTTGAAAACTCGCATCTACTGCACCACTGTACAATCAGTTCTGCTTTACGGTTATGAGACCTTGAATTTCACTGGCAGAAGACATCCATGGCCCAGTAGTTTTCGACAATCGGTACTTATGTAGTCTGCCCCAGGTGGGATGGAGTGAGCAGGTTAGCAACCTAGATGCAAGTCTTCGGGTGTTTGGGAATGCGTCGAATTCAGCTCAGCGGGTTTTGTTGGTTTTACGCATATCTTACGGCCGCCTTCCTCATCGCGTCTTATTTGCAGCGGCTGTTGCAGACTTTTATTTCACACCTAAGTGTGATGAACAGTAGACGAGGCGAACCTCATGGTCAGGAGGACCTGTCGTTCTGTGGTGGAAACCGGTAACCTAAGCCCCGAGACTTAGAGTGGTAAACCACATAAGGCCCCGATAGGTTAGGCTGGAGAAAGCCACATGGAGTACAGCAAATGACGTGAAGACGAGGCATGAAGAAATGCACAGAGCGATCACGTAAAATAGGTATCGCTCGTCTTGTATGTTGGGGTACAAAAGACTCCCTAACTGGATGACTGGAGACACGGGAGGTTATGGCAGCAAAGTGACAGCAGTGGTGATGTTGATGTCATTTGTCAAATCAGAATGCTTAGAAGTGTCCGTGCAGAGTTGAACTCTGTATGTTGACCATGGAGGTTCACTTTCTTTCTCCGCTTGTAAAAATTGGCCTTATTCCTTTCCTCTTTACACTTTCACTTGGGTTTTATACATTATGAGTTTGCCAGTGGAGTCCGCTTCATTATACTAAACTGTACGATGATGATGATGAGTATCTTCTGTTTGCGATCCGGCTTTGGTTATTACCCATGTTGCTTGTTGTTGCTGGACGTAAAAAGGCACATTGAGTTCTTTGGAATATGATTTGTGTTAATCGATCCTTCGAAAAGTGTTATCGTCATCCCAACTCGGGTTAGGTCATACGACGAGATTTTGCCACTGCCGTTTCCTATTGAGTGCGACAAGGTCACCCCATATCCGTGCAAAGGATGTTTCCAAAGGTAAGGCGTGCTAACCACACTCAAGCAGCTTAGTTGTATTGACCATCGGCTCGATTGGGCACCTTGGACGCTTGACCCCGTCCGAAGGCCGTATAATCCGATATACTAAATGCCGGCCCCCAGT